CGCCGGGGGGGCGGCGAGGGGGTGCCCCCCCCACCCTACCCCGGGAAACAGCTGATTCTCGCGCAGAGTTCGGAGCCGTCCGGCTGGGGTTGCGGCGGAATGGATGCTTTTGTACACTTCAGCAACCAGACGCAGGGTCGGGAGCGGCTCTTTCGGTGAGCGGGCAAAGGCAGGGCGGCGGAGAGGGGGTGGCGGGCGCCCTCGTTTGCAGGGAGCTTGCAGTGCCCCCCACCCCCGTGCATGGGTACTCGTTGGGTTGGGTTCCCACGGCCCGCGCCGCTCAACCCATGCTGGCGATAGGCTTCCCCCGCAAAAGCCACGGGGAAGCCAACCAATCGGGCACGAGGCGTGGTATCCCCGCACCCCCTCGGCTGCATCAGACTGGGTGAATCAGGTTGTGCGAATGTAGGCGATAGGTAAGTTTGCACAACCCGGGCCACCTGTTTACTGAAGCGACTTTGCCCAAGACACTGACTCATAAGATAGCCACAATTTTTTATACTGTATTTTTACTTAATTTTATCTTCTCTGTCAACCGCCCAGCGTCTCTTTTTTTAACGAGATGGGCGATGACAGATCTGATACGTGATTAAATTTTTTTTTTTTTAAATGGCTGAGTTTGCCCAGCATGTTAAGGTTCACATTAACTGAGGTTGGCCTGTTGTGTGATGGCAGTACAAATCTGGTAACTTAAAGGTGGTGTAGGAACACCCGCATTGAAGTCAAAGGGTCTTGCTTCAACAGAGGCATTAGCAGGATGATTCTCTTAATTTATTTGGCACATGTCTTAGTAGCTCTTCACTCCTACCTTGGAGTGATTTGCAAACATACCCCCACGCCCACCTTAAAATTACACAATGCAAAAGTAGTAGAAATAATATATTGTCAGCAAGAAAAGGTAGTGTGCAATTGCTGCAATTTAAACAGGGGCCGGGGGCCAAGTTTCCCTTCTCTTGTGGATAGTACACACGCATAAACCTCTTCCCAGGGCCAGGCAGAAATTTGCAAGCCTGGTGTGTCTAGCTGGTGTCCTCCAGATGGGATGGGACTACAGTTTCCTGGATTCCCAGCCAATGAAGCTTTTGGGCAGGGTGGTGGAGGATTGCAGTTGTCCAACAAATATGATGGAAATCAGGTTGTGGAGTAGAAAGCGATCCCTGCGTCATCCTACAAACTATCAATATGAAATTATAAAAAAAAAAAAAAAGTTATGTAGGAGGAACAGACTTGCCAGATAGTTCAACAGGGGAGGGCCTTTGAGTAAAGCAAACAAGGCGAGAAAGATTACCTTATTGCTGTATATAGGTATGAGAATGACCTACACCATATATAGTACTTTATAGTAATTTTTCCCCATCTCCCTACCCCAAGGCTGTTGGGAGATGTGGAAAAAATAGCTATGCCAAAGAAATGTGCCAATGAATGCTTTAATCACCATTGTCTTAGCTTTATCTGTTCATGTTATCATTTGCTTGTGTTGTGTAACTTATCTGGAAGCATTGCATGCTGCTTTTAAACTTGAACTCTACATGGGGTGATCCAAGGGATTCTAATTTGCTTCTCCGACTCACAACCTGTCTTACCTTCATACCCTCAAGACAATGTGAGCGGCGATCGCGTCTCCAGTTTTATCTTTGAAGCAGTGGCTGTGCAATAAATTGGACTGCAAGTTAGTGCTTGGCTCAGTGTGATAAGTTTTTCCACAGCTGTAGATGGAGCTGAGCCTCAATCTCATAAGTCCAGCTGTTTGCCTGTTGTACAAGCTCCTGCTTAATGTGTAATGCTGGAAAAGGTAGTGTGGAACTGATATTTCAAGGATCCAGAGAGAGAGAGAGAAAATCTTTGCTACAACTAAATAATAAGGAACCACATGTAGAGATCAAGTTCCTGTTTCGAGTGCAGATGATCAGTTCCATGGATCTTCAGGTAGGAGTAAAAAAAAAAAAGAAATAGCCAGTGGTAAAAGACATTGTGACTGGTCTTGACAGGTACTCCTTAAATGCAAGAAAGCTGCTAGCTAGCTAGCTATTTATTTATTACATTATCCTGCCTTTTGTACAGGAGTACAAGGTGTTATCCATAGTGCATAATAGCTCTGGGAAGACGTTTGGAAGGAGACAGCATTTTTGCCAACAAATGCTTTTGGAAATAAGCATGTTTTTCCAGTATAATTGAGTATAATAGATTCTTATGCACAACTTGCATTGTGTCCTGCGATTGAGCAATATTAACTTGCACAAAGTTATATAGTAGGAGTGTTTGCCTTGGAGCAAAATAGTGCTGTGGCATCTTTCTTGTGGGAAGGGAGCAGTGCACACACACACATATATATACACATATATTTCCCTCCGGGTTTCATTTTGGGAAGACACAGCCCACCTTGCCTGTGATGTATGACCAGCTACGCACCTCTCTTTCCTTCCCTTTCCAGAGCAACTCAGTATTCATGCATGCTGCTTAGCTATATATTAGAGCGTAAGAGTCACCAAGAGAAATTGGTTATGAAGCTCAAACTTCTGGAATCGAGCATGAGTTCAGGACGCAAGAGTGAGTATGTCAGTTTTAGATATATTGAAGAAAGAAAAGGAAATGGAGTAGACTGCTGATAGCCCCAAAAGAGGGGGTGGGTGGACAGACGGAAAGACCAGTTGCAGATTTTTTTAAAAAAAACCTCAATACCATGTACCAGAATTGGGTTACAGATTAGGAATCATGTAATACTGCCTTTGATCTGTCGATCAAAATGTCACCCTTGTTGAGGCCATGGGAAGGCATAAGCTATTAAGCACCAGATCTGGTTACATCATGGACTGGTTTCATTACCAGTGAGGCAGAGAGACTGAGCTGAAGTTCATAACTATCCTCACCTAGGACTAAGTCCCAGAAACAATGATTGGATTTTTAAGGAAGAATACCTAGGACTGCACTCTAATTTCTGTCACTTGTATAGGGTTTTGGTTTCATGGATAGTTCCTGATGGAAATTTAATGAAAAGAGCTCCTTGCTGGTTACAACAGATGATAGTCATCTTTACTTCAACCTTGCCCAGCTTTGGTGCCTTCCAGATGCACTGGATTATATCTCCTGTGCTCCCTTTGGTTGGGCTTGCTTGGCATCACTTAATACATCCAGATTTGTCCCCTGCAGAAATATTGAAATCAAAGCCCTTTTATAGGTCTGTGCTCCCAGGCTTAAATTCTACTTTTTTCTCCTCCTGCCTTGCTGAGCCAATGGGTCTTTGGGTGGTTCTCTTGATGGCCTAGAGGGGCAAATGATTGACATTGTGGTTCTCTCTAGCCTGGGAACTGCTGACTCCTACTTACTGGTCTTCCTTCCTTGCATCAGCTTGAGAAAAGCTGATCCACTTATTAATCAAAACTGCTGTATGAACTTGTCATTTCATGATTATTGCATTCACATGACCTGGATTGCCTATGTCCTAATCTACATTCCATCAATTTGCATGCATGCTGTTCTTTTGTTGTGGGAGGATGGGGGTGGGAAGAGCCTGTCTGATTGGCCTGATCCTTTCTTATCCCTGCCTCTGCTGTTGTATGTGGGTGTGTTTGCATTTTTGAGGACAGTGACCTTGTCGCTTTTTTTCCCATTTAAAGTCATCTGCATTTGATGGTGTTTAACCAGGAGGCAGGGAGCTGTGCACGTTGGGCTTTGCCATGCCAAATGTCCTATTTGTGCTTGGCACAGGAGGCTTGATATCTGCCCCCGGCCTTCCTTTTAATGGTGGAGCTTGATTGCAGAAATGGTGATTGACCCCATCACTACAGCTTGGTTCAAAAGAAAGGAAAGAACCTGAGTTCTTTTTTTCCCAAGCTTAGAATTTTGGAGGGGACTCGATTATTTCTTTCTGTGTCTGGTCTAACTGCTTTCTACTCACAGCTCATTAAGTAACCTTCTGTAAGTGCTTCCCATACCCTAAGGGTACCCTTAGAGGCCTAACTCCAGAAGGTCTCCCTTGCTAAAATCTGGCAGGTAGCTGTCAATGAACAGGGAATGGAATTATGAAGGCCAGACTCAGGGAGAAAAACGTTTTCTTTCATCTCCTGAGGCGCGAGGGAAAGATAAGAGGATGAGACCGGCATCTCCCTGAGGAAGTCACAATGTTGTGGCTGGCATTTCTTGGGATCTGGGGTTTCAGTCTGGGAAGATTCTTGCTAGAGGTTGTAGCTAATAAGCATT